TGACTCTTTCCCTTTGGCATGCCCACTGAGGATCCTGCTGTTGCCATGAGCTTCTGCCCTGCCTGGTGTTACTGGTATCGTGAAAACAAGCCGAACCCAGAGTTTCACTTCTGCTGAAATGTCCCTGATGCCAAGATCCGCATCTTTGACCTAGGGTAGAAGAAGGCAAAAGTGGATGAGTTCCCACTCTTTGGGCACACAGTGTCTGATGAGGATAGGGAGCTGTCCTCCGAGGCCCCAGAGGCTGCATGTATGTGTGCCAACACATACATGGTGAAAATCTGTGGCAAAGATAGCTTTCACATCCAAGTGTGGCTCCACCCCTTCACATCACCTGCATCAACAAGATGTTGCTCTGTGCTGGAGCTCTTAGGCTCCGATAGGCTCCAGATAGGTATGTGCGGTGCCTTTGGAAAGCCCCAGGACCCAGTGACCAGGGTGCACACTGGCCAAATTATGATGTCCATCTGCACAAGGCTGTAGAGCAAGGAGCATGTGATTGAGGCCCTGGTATGTGCTAAGTTGCTCAGACATGTCCAAATCTTTGTGACCCCATGAACTGTAGCCTGCCGGGATCCTCTGTCCATGGGATTCTCTAGGCAAGAACACTGCAGTGGGTTGCCATGTTCTCCAGGGGATCTTCCCCAGGCAGGGATCAAACCCGTGTCTCCTGTGGCTTCTGCTTTGCAGGCGGATTCTTTGCCACTGAGCCACCAGGGAAGCCCTGAGACCCTATTCATGGCCAGATTCAAGTTCCCTGGCCACCAGAAGATCCATGTCTCCAAGAAGTGGGGGTTTACTGAGTTTATTATTTATTTAAAAAATACCTATTTATTTATTTGCTTGCATCAGGCGGGTCTTAGTTGTGGCATTTGAGATCTTTAGTTGCAGCATTTGAACTGTTAGTTGTGTTCTGTGGGATCTCAGTTCCTTGACCAAGGATTGAACCCAGGTCCTCTGCCTTGGGAGCGCCAAGTCTTAGCTGCTGGACCATCAGAGAAGTCCCGGGACTTACTGTTTAATGTAGATGAATTTGAAAACATAGTGACAGAAAAGTGGCTCATCCCAGATGACTGTAGTCAAATACATCCCTAATCGTGGCCCCTGGGCAAATGGTGGGCCTTGTGCTCAGGAGAGCCTTGGCGCTGTCCCCTCCTTATCACACTCACCAATAAATCCTACTTTCCTGTTAAAACAGAAAAATGGCCTTCCTGATGTATTGCTCCACTTCCCATCTCTATCCCTCCATGTACCTCCCACCCCTGTGTGAGGAAGCCCAGTCTATGGGAAGTTTCTGGTGATTTTGAGAGAGTTTCTCCAAACTCAGGGAAACAAAAGGCCCCTCAAACTGTGCTGCAGTGGACCAACTGTGTGATCTGGAATAATGCCTCCGGCTGAAGGTGGAGGTGAAGTGTGAGTGGTGACCGGCCTACTCCATGCTCTGGGCGCCCCAGATCTGGCCACCTTTCTGAGTGTCAGGTGGCCATGGGGAACAAGGCCATCATGTGCTGGGCCTGGACACCTTCCAAACAGGCACAGCCTGGGTGTGAGAGTCAACAGGATTGCAGGCTGAATGGTCCTGTTTTTATGCTGCCTCTGGGTGGATGGGAGGGGCCTAGCTGGGAGCTCAGAAGAAATTGGGAGCAGAAGTGACCTTTCAGGGTGGTAATGTGAGGGCCTTGGGCCCCCTTAATTAAAATATATATATTTAAAATTTGGAAATAATTCCAAAAGTTTATGAAAAGTTGTAAAAATAAAACATAGTTCAAAGAACATCTTTATTCTTTTTGCCAAGATTTACCTATTGTTGGGAATTCCCTGGTGGTCCAGTGGTGGTGGTGGTGTTGTTTAGTCACTTCAACCGTGTCCAGTTTTTTGTGACCCCGTGAACTGTAGCCTGCCAGGCTCCTCTGTCTGTGGAATTTTCCAGGCAAGTTTACTGGAGTGGGTAGCCATTTCCTTCTCCAAGGGATCTTACCAACCCAGGGACTGAATCCGAGTCTCCTCCATTTCCTGTATTGCAGGTGGATTCTTTACTGCTAAGACAGCAGGGAAGTCCCCAGTGTTTAGGACTCCACATTTTTCACTGTTGAGTCCCCAGATTTAATCCCTGGTGCAGGAACTAAAATTCCACAAACTGCGTGCCTCCCTCACCACTGAAAATAAAAAAGATTTACCTATTACTAACATTTTACTCCATTTGTTTTATAATTTTATCATCTGTCCCTGGCAGTGTGTACACACATAGATGGACAGACACACACACACATATGTGTGTACATGCATAATTTTTTCCCTAAACAATCCGAAGTTAAGTCACACATGTCATGACCTTCACCCTGAAAACTTTAATATTTTCCAAGAATATTTTTCTTGTGGTGTCAACTTTACAAATTGACCCTGAGCCAGTGCTTTAAGCTGCCGTCGATCATCTAGTCTTATTTGTTGACCTTATTATGTCCTTGGGTTAAATACCCTTCCCAGATTGAATATCTGAGAGTAGATACTGCAGTTAGTTGGCATGTCTCTTTAGCCTCCTCCTCTGAAACATTCCCTCTGCCTTTGTCTCCCACGCTGTTGAAAAGTCCAAGGTCTTCGTGAGGGCTCTAGGCAAAGGTGGGTGAAAATGAGCTAACGTACCTCCTGCAGCCTCCATAATCTTGCCCCACCATCTAACCATTGTTCATTTGGAATTACCAAGGATGGGACTAACTATTTCACTGAAATATTTTCTTCCACCCAGATAATTTCTATCCCTTCAACGATGTCTAATTTCATTGAGTTTGGCCATTTTGGAGAGAATGTTTTATCAAATGTATCATAAACTTGTGTTCCTTTTTAAAAGAGGACATGCTACATCCTTTAAGTCTTTCTGGATGATCCAGGTCAAAACTCTAAATGGAAATCATCATGCTTTGTTGCAAAACCAGCAATTATGGACGCTTAGGGCCTGATTGGGTTTCCCTGGTGGCTCAGATGGTAAAGAATCCACCTGCAATGCGGGAGACCTGGGTTCGATCCCTGGGTTGGGAAGATCCCTTGGAGGAGGGCATAAGCCACTCCAGTATTCTTGCCTGGGAACTCCCCATGGACAAAGGAGACTGGAGGGCTACAGTTCATGGAGTTGGACATGACTGAGTGACTAAGCACAGCACAGCACAGGGCCTGTTTACAGCTCTGCACTAAATGATCACAATGACTCTGCTCTTGGGTACTTATTTTTGTACTTTTTTCCCCCCTGATTCTGAGATTCTAGCCATCTGCCATTTCTTATAGCTTCTGGTACACTTCTAGGGCTTCCCTGATGGTTCAGTGGGTGAAGAATCCACCTTCAGGGCAGGAGACACAGGAGATGTGGGTTTGATCCCTGGGTCAGGAAGATCCTCTGGAGAAGGAAGTAGCAACCCATTCCAGTATTTTTGCCTGGAGAATTCCATGGACAGGGGAACCTGGCGGGCTACAGTCCATGGGGTTGCAAAGAGTCAGACACGGCTGAGCAATTAGGCACACTTGTAGCAATTCTTTTTTTCTTTTTACAATTCATATTTATTTATTTGGCTGTGTCGGGTCTTGGTTGTGACATGCAGGATCTCAGTTGCATCATGTGGGATCTTTCTTTGTACTTGGGCTCCAGAATGCATGACTCAGTAGTCGCAGTGTGAGGGCTCAGTTACTCCAAGGCATGTGGGATCTTAGTTCCCTAGCCAGGTCGCCTGCATCTCAAAGTGGATTTTTAACCCCTGAGCCACTAAGGAAGTCTCCAGAAATTACTCCTTTAAATGGTCGTGGGCTAGGAAGATTGATAACCCAATGTGCTAGAATTGTTTGTAAAGCAGGAATCCTAAGTGCTTTCTTTCTTTATTAGACACTTTTATTTATTTATTTAAAAATGTTTTTAAAACAAAATTCACACTTTATTTAGGTTGAAATTGATTATGCAAAAGTTGATTTCCTTCACTAAAAATAACCGCAATATTTTGTGTATTATTCCCAGGTAAACCACAAACACTTCTTTTTGTAAGTTTTCTATGTTTTGCTTGTAAATCAAGATGAGGCAGTAGACACCGTCATGTCTTCTGCACAGCCAGTAGCTTGACTGTCATGCACTTACTGAATGCACTTACTTGCATTCAGTAAGTGAAGCAATGGAAAATATCGAAATTTATCATGAATTTTGGTTTGAGGAAGCCACAAATGTGGCAAGCAAACTTGACATTCAGATGACACTCCAAGGGAAATTTCGCAGAGTTCAGCACAGTAACCTGGAATCTCAGCTTGCCTTTGACAGCTACGGTAAAGAAACTCTAGATGTTCTAACAGTGGACCACATTACTCAGGAACAGAAAGATATATTCTCAGAACAGTACCTCAAAGCTCTTAAAATGCTTATCTCTGCTACCCTCTGTCATGGGACAGTCTTTTATTTTTAAAGCATATGAGTCTCCTGCCTTTGCAACCTCCATGTTTGTTGCACTCTGAGTTCTCTGCTGCATTCTAGGTCGCTGTGGTCCTTGGATGCATAAATCCTAGAAGTAAAGATAGTATAATATAGGTGAATTGTTCTTCCTTGATTATTACTGCTTTCTGTCTTAAAAAACAGGGGCTTCCCTGATGGCTCAGCTGGTACAGAACTAGTCTGTCAATGCAAAAGAGACGTGGGTTCGCTCCCTGAGTTGAGAAAATCCCCTGGAGGAGGAAATGGCAACCTACTCTAGTATTCTTGCCTGGGAAATTCCATGAACAGAGTCTGGAGGGCTGCAGTCCCTGGAGTCTCAAAGAGTCAGACACGACTGAGCACACATGCACTTAAAAACAGAAGGGACACCAGAGACTGTCCTGGTTGACTCCTCCCTCAGAGGAGGAGGAGATGGGGGCCAGGGTGGGGCCAGCAGGGTCAGCAGTGTTGTCCGAAGGTTTGAGGGAGGGGAGAGCTGCTGGACACCACTGATAGTGGGCAGGTGACTGGAGAAAGAACCACTGCCTTCTCACGCCTGGTGGCGATGGCCAGTGTGGACGCAGGCCCTGGAGCCAGACTGGCATCAGCGGTGAGATGGATGGGGGTGAGGGGATCATGATAAACACCCCATTTCCTGACATGCCCCATACAACACAGCAGCCCTGGGACCGACTCCTTCAAATACACAGAGATGATGACACACACAGGCAAGCCCCTGCTCTCACAAGGGAACATCCTCTTGTAGGTGGGCAGCGGCTGACCACATGGAAAACTGACTGTACGCTGAGTGGGGGGAGGGGCTCTCCCCCTCCCCCACCCCCAGACATGGCGCTTTGTGCGGCCCAGCTGGGACAAACGCAACATCTCTGAGCTTGGACACAGCGACCTCGATCAGGAAAGTGAACCCCCACTGACCAGGGCACATCCTCGCTCTTGCGGATGCCCCCAGAACACTCCCACGGTGAGAGGAGCCCTGCACACGCTGGCACACGTGCTCAGGTACACACGCGTGCTCAGACACACGCAGGCCCAGGGAAGCCCTGGCCCTTGGAGTTTGGGGGCGTTGATCCGGACATCCTCCCCTTTCCAGGATTTTTGTCAACTGCAGCCTGACGATGGGGAAGATTGGCTGCTTCGGCTTTGACGTGGACTACACTCTGGCTGATAACGGAAAGGGGGAGGGGTGGGGGTGCGGGAGTGAGGATTTGGGGGCCAGGGGCGCCGGCCGGGGAATGGGCATCAATGGGCCTGGGTCTGCTTTGCCCGCAGCCTGCAAGTCCCCGGCTTATGAGACGCTGGCCTTTGAGTTGCTGCTCCGGCGCTAGGTGTGCATCGGGTACCCGCATGAGATCCTACGCTACACCTACGACCCCACCTTCCCCACCAGGTGAGCAGGGCCCGGGGGCGGGATGCTGAGCCGAGTCCCGGCCCCGGCACCCCATTCACAGCCTCTATGCCCTCACCCAGGGGGCTGGTATTCGACGGGCTCTACGGAAACCTGCTGAAGGTGGATGCCCAGGGGAACTTGCTGCAATGCACCCACGGCTTCTCCTCTCTCTTGGAGTAAGGCACCGGCTGGAGGGCAAGGATGCTGCAGGAAAGACGGTGGGGGCTGAGTCAAGCACACAGCACGGGCTCGTCAATGCCAGCTGGAGAAAGAGGAACAGGAGTTTGGGGACAGGCGCGAAGGAGTGGCAGGGCCTGGCCGACCACTGGGGGGCGCTGTGGAGGGGGCATCATGGCACAGTGCTCACTCCCTCCTCTGGAGGTCTGGAGCTTCTAGCCCAGCAAGTTCATTCAGAGGGCCGACCTGCAGCGGTTTCACATCCTCAACATGCTGTTCAACCTGCTTGGTGAGGGCTGATGGGCTGCGGGCTGATGGTGAGGTGGTCCCGGCTCTGACCTGGATCCTTGGGCCAGAGACTGACCTACCTCCCCACCCCCAGAAACCTACCTCTGTACCTGCCTGGTAGACGACTTCTCTGGCTGCTCCCGCTACATCAAGTGCGTTCTGTGCCCCTCCCCTCCCCCAGCCCTGGGTGACCCAGCAGGATACTGCTCCCCTTAGGGGCCAAGCCCTGAAGTGGGGGCTCCAGCAGGAGGCAGAGGCTCCTCTTAAGGGGTTCCCAGGGCTTCAAGAACTCAGTGGGAAGGCCTTAGCTGTGGGAGCCCCCAACTGTATAACTGATACCCCCTAGGGGTGACCCTCAGCACAGGGTGACACCCCTCCCAAGAGGGCTGGGACATGAACCCAGTGTCCTGCTCACTGTGGATGGAATGAGTCCCACTGATAGGGCTCCAGGGTGGTGGTCACCTCAGGGGCCCTTACCAGCCTTCCTCTTGGCTTGACTCAGCTGTGACACGGGCTATCAGCACGGGAACCTCTTCATGTCCTTCCAAAGCCTCTTCCAGGATGTGATGGATGCCATGGATTATGTCCACCATTCGGTGAGTGTCCCAGGACCCCAGGCCACACCCAGGTCCCCAGATCCCATAAGGTTTCCCTCTGCTTCCGGTTGAGGATGGTGGTCTGGGTTCCTCCATCTTGGATGTAGGCATGTGCATGCATGCCCACGTGCACACACACACATACACACATGAGATGTGAACTCACAGCTCTGCTCCCTCCTGTGGGGCTGTCTCAAGGAGAAGACCTTGGATGACTTAGAGAAATACCTGGAGACGGTGTGAGTGGCCTTAGACTAGGGTCATGACTAAGCCTTGTCCCCCTTGTCCCCTCCTCCCCCAGGGCAGTGGGGCTGCTCCTCCTTTCCCTGGCTCCTTCTTCAAGATGTGGACAGAGCTCTGCACCCTGGTCTTGTTCCTTGCCTTCCTGCCTGACCTGGGGCCCCCTGCCCACCCATGGGGCTGAAACCTGAGAACAGGCTCCCAGGGCAGCTCTGGGGAGGCCCCACTGCTGGAGGTGGCTCCTGTCTCTGCCCCAGGCATGAATCCCTGTCCTGCTGGACAAGATGAGGGAGGTGGGAAAAGTGTTCCTGGCCACCAACAGCAGCTACAACTACACAGATGTGAGTGTGTAATTGGAGGTGGGTGGAGGGGCGGGGCTCAGCCTCTGGGCCAGAGAACTTTCCTTTCTGGCTCTGGGTAAGCTGAGGCCCTGCAAAAACAGTGAGGGAGTGGAGAAGCAGTGGGGGTGAAACCCTCACTGCCTGGTTGGTATCTTGGGTTCCATTTCTTGGCCTTTTAAGGTCTCAGTGAAATGTTAGTCACTCAGTCATGTCTGACTCTTTGTGACCCTGTGGACAGTAGCCAGGCTTCTCTGTCCATGGGATTCTCCAGGCAAGAACATTGGAGTGGGTTGCCATTTCCTTCTCCAGGGGATCTTCCTGACCCAGAGATCAAACCTGCCTTTCCTGCACTGCAGGCAGATTCTTTACCCCTGAGCCACCAGGGAAGCCTAGGTTCTCTGTGAAATTATCCATTTCCCCTCCATCTTGCTACTGTGGTCCCCGGTGTGTCCTGTGGGCTGAGGGCCTTGGCAGCCCTTGGTCCAACCCAGCTAGGTGCTCTAACTCCTGGCTTTTCCTTGCTAGGCCATCCTGACCTACCTGTTAGGCGCTGGTGAGGTGAGTGCCATGGGCCTGGCTGGTGGAGGCTGTGCCTAGGGCAGGGAGGCCGGGCCACCTTGCTGTAGGTCCCTCCCATGTCCAGCTCTCTCCTCCAGAGGAAACAAGGGTATGGGAGGGATCGTTTCACCTGAGTGGGCCCATTGAAAACTCCTCTGGGTGCTGGAACTTCCCCAGTGGGTGGGAGACTGGTGACTTCAGCCAGGCTATGGGAGGAGCCCGGAGGGGTGGGGAGACCTTGGAAAAGTGACTAGATATTTGGGGAGGGGCTGGATGGGGCAGAAGAGAGTGAGGGAGGGGGTGAGAAGTGGCTTTGGCAGGCCTAGGGGTGGGCAGTGTGACATACCTTGTGGGGACCTGGCCGGCTAATGGGTAAGCAGGGCTCCAGCTGGGGCGGGGGGTGGGTGGGGGGGGGAGGAACCTATGCTCTCGTCCTGTGTCCCTGGGTCTCTGACTCTGTGCTATGAGGGACTCCAGGGGCTGACACAGCCACTCAACATCCAGCGCTGGCCTCTGCTAATAGCTTTTGAGCCCTTCCTGCCAGCGTGGCTGGGGATGCTGGGTGGTCAGAGGCCCAGATTCCTGAGCCCTGGGATGTCCCATCTGGCTGAGAGGCCAGGGCTGAGATGGGGGAGCTGGCGAGTTTTCACCGGTCCAGAGCCAGGCATCCCGGCCAGGGTGAGTGGGGCAGCTGTGGGTGAGGACCTGGCTGAGAGCCTGAATCAGATTTTCCAGGCTGAGCGCGTGTGTTGGCACGTGCCTCACCGTGTGCCCCGCCATGTCTCATCCACCCACCTGCAGGCTGAGGCTGCAGCCAGGCCCTGGAGGTCCTACTTTGATCTGATCGTGGTGGACACACAGAAGCCCCACTTCTTCGTGCAGGGCACAGTGCTGAGACAGGTCAACATGGTAATGCAGGGGTCGAGCCCTGTCCTCCGTGACCCATGAACCACACTGTGGGGAGGGAGCCCGCCTCTCAGGCTTGACCTGCTCTTGGTGGTGGCTGTTCTGCTGTCTGTCTGTCCCTGGAGGCAAGGATCCAGGGAGGGGACTCCTTCAGGGCCAGCTGTGGCCCCCTTCTCTCCTCACCCCATAGTTACCCCTGCCAGTCCCAACCCGCCACCCTCTCTGACCAGGGCACCCCTCTGCCCCCTCCAGGACACGGACAAGCTCTGTGTTGGTACCTACACTGGCCCTCACCACCACTGTGCTGCCTACTCTGGAGGTACCATCTCCCCCTTTCCCCTCCCTCCCTCCCTCCCATTCCTCCTTAGCGACCCTCCTTCAACTAGAAGCCCACGTCCTGGGCCTGCCTGCCAGGACAGGACTAGGAGCCCCTGTCCCCAGCCTGCTCCCTAGGACAGGAAGGACTGTGAGTGGGCCTGTCCTTCTCTGGTCCGGCAGGTTCATTGGACATGGTGTGTGAGCTGCTCGGGGTGCGGGGGAAGGACATCCTATACATCGGGGATCACATCTTTGGGGACATCCTCAAGTCCAAGAAGCAGCAGAGCTGGCAGACTTGTCTGGTGGTTCCTGAGCTGTCCCGGGAGTTGGGCATCTGGGCCCCAGAGAAGGGTGAGTTGTAGGGGGCAGATCAGCAGGGGGCACTGGCCAGAGATGCTAAAGCCTGCACCATGGTCATCGTCCCTTCTCTCCTATGTGGGGTCCATAGTGACCATGATCATACTGTCTGCTCTGTGCTTTATGAGAGTGGATCTATTTATTCATGAGGAAACAGAGACCCAGAGAGGTTAAGTGTCTTGCCCAAAGTCACACAGCCTGGAGGGCTAAAGCTGAGACTCACATCCTGTCTCCTGACTCCAGAGCCCCATGGTGCTTCTGTAGTCCAAGGTTTACTCCCTCATCTGACTGCATCCTCCCTACTCACCCTGAAAAATTTAGTGAGTGCAAGGCCCAGTCCTCCAGCCGAGAAGTCTGAAGTTACTATGAACCCAAACAGTTCGGGCTTGTTCTAAGGGCTGGGTTTGAGTCACTGATGTCACAGAGTGAATGGAGACACTGAAGAGGCTGGACACGCATCTAGTGGACCTGTACCAGCGAGTGCCCTGACCTGTGACCCCTACCCTGGGAGGGAAGCAGGATGGAGGGTGGTGGTCCATGTCCACGCCTGGCAGCAGGGTCCACGCCAGGTTGCTCAGGAAATCACGATCTGTTTCAGACTGGGCTTCCCTACTAAACTGGACTCTGACCCCCTTGAGATGCTCACCCTGACTGCTAGGCCCTTCCTCCTGAACCACTGACCCTCTCATACGTGGGCACACACCCAGCTCAGCGCCCCCACTGGGTGCCTGCAGAGTGCCTCCCACCCCATGCCATCTGGGGAGGTTGTACCTGGAGTCTCTGGGGCCCCCCAGCTCCTCTCCTCCTGGGTCAAGTGGCCATTTTTGCACCGGGCATACAGATGACAGCAGTTACGGCCTGCAACTCATCAACTCCACCAAGAGGGAGATTCGGGGAAGAGCAGGGTGCTGAGGAGGAGGGGATGGGCCTCCAGAGGGTGAGGCGTGTGACTCCAGGTTGCCTGCCTGGATTAGCTCTTTCCCAGGTCCCCAGAGCCTAGTTATGACTCCCCCAGTCTCCAGGAGTGCCACTGGGCCTTGTGAGCTGGTGCCCTCTGCTGGCCCACATGCTGAATGACAGCAGTGTGCTCTTGAGGGGTTGAGGTTTTTCCATCTCCACCATTAACCTTGAGAATGGATTGGGTTCTCATGTGACCCACTGCCTGGCTAGCATCTGGGGTCAGCCAGACAAAGGGCCTGAGAAGACAGGCTTTAGGGTGGATGCGCTGGTGGGTCTGGGTGAAGAAAGGACATGTTCCCTAGTGTCTTTCCTGACGAGTCACTAGAGGTGGAAGAGTCCCACAGGGATTCAGGCCACTCGGCCTTCCCAGGCCCAGTAGGGACCAATAGTGCAGGTTCTCGGCTGAACCTCTTGTAGGAAATTCAGTGCTTTCATGCCGCATGATTCTCCCACAGCTCCTCGTGGGGACCTGGACAGGGATTGTCACCTTTATTTTATAGATGGGGAAACTGAGGCACAGAAAGGGGAACAGGGAAGCCCTAGGTCACACTTGGTAACACGGGACCACTTTTCTTTTTTAAAAAAAACTGTTTTTGACCTGGGTCTTCACTGTTGTGCACAGGCAAGTGGGCTTCTTACTGTGGTGGCTTCTCCTGTCGCAGAGCACAGACTCAATAGTTGTGGTGCACAGGCATAGTTGTTCCCGAGGCATGAGGCATCTTCCTGGACCAGGGATCGAGCACGTGTCCTCTGCATTGGCAGGCAGATTCTTAACCACAGGACTACCAGGGAATGGAATGCTTTTTTAGATTCTGAAGGCAGGGCCTGTAATGAGGTGGGGGCCTGCTAGGGGGAGTGGGGTAGGAGTGGGGCTGGGTGTGTGGGTCTTACCAGAAAGTAAGTGATGCTGAGAGTGTAGAGCAAGCTGGTCGCTCTCCAGGGCCAGGCAGGGAAGCAGGGAGTGGGGCCTGGGGCCAAGCAGAGAGAGCTGCCCCACCTTCCAAAGCCCGCACTGGCTGAGCGCCATGGCAGCCCCTTCCCTGTGGTGGGCGAGGGCCTCAAGTGTCCTTGGTGGTGGTGATGGTTTAGTCGCTAAGTCGTGGCCGACTCTTGCAATCCTGTGGACTGTAGCCTGTCAGGCTCCTCTGTCCATGGGATTCTCCAGGCAAGAATACTGTGGGTTGCCATTTCCTTCTCCGGGGGATCTTCCCGACCCAGGAATCGGACATTCCTGGGTCTCCTGCATTGCAGGCAGATGATTTACCAACTGAGCTATGAGGGAAGTCCTCAGTGTCCTTAGGGGACTGTTTCCCGGGAGGGCAGAGCTGGGCCTGACCCTGATAGACAGGTTCACTTGTGGGTGATGCAGGTCTGGGGTGTTGGGGGGAAACGGGATCTCGAATCAGTGAGCTGCCCCTCTGCCACAGAGTCAGCCGGGAGTTGGACCTGTGCTACAGCGTGATGGGCAGCCTGTTCCAGTGTGGCTTCCGCCAGACACTCTTCTCCAGCCAGCTGATGTGCTACGCCGACCTCTACACAGCCACCTGCCTCAATTTCTTGTACCACCCACTCAGCTCGCTGTACCGGGCGGCCCCGGAGCTGGTGGGTCCCTGCGGAACCTCCCTAGCATCCCTGAACCTCCGTCCCAGAAGGACCCATGGGTAGTTGGCCCTGCCAAGAGCATTTGAGGTCACCAGACCCCCCTCTCCCATCTCCAGGCACAAATGGGCCAAACCCTTGCAGATAACTGTCTGCCTCATAAAGAATGCTCTGGAGGGGTTATGGTTCTACAGATAAGATGCCTCTGCTAGGAAGTTTTCCTCCTGCTCAATTTTAACTCCTGCTTTAAACTGAGACTGCATTATCTCCCTAGTACACATGATACCACTTTCAAGGAGGAAGGCTGTGGTTCCCCTACCTTCAGTAATTGCAGTACAGTGATCGCAGGGGAAGTGAATGAAACAGCATACTGCATAGTAAACACTCCAGCTGGTTTTCCTCTGGAAGACCTGGGATGCTTCTCAGTCAAGAGCAGGGAAGTGAAGGCGACAGTGATGCCACAGCGTTCATGGGGGCCATGAGACTGACCAGTGCGGAACTCCCCGGGGCATGCATGTCCCTTCTCCCAACGAGCGGTCATTATTTCCATCTTATATGATGTACCGTCTGCAGTCAAGGATCTAGACTTGAAGCTAGTTCTCTGGGGCTCCATGCACCCTGTTTTTCTTGCCACTCTCAGCTGCCTTCCTGATAATTGAGAGCAGGAGAAACCATTTTATGTTTCTGGGCTGGGTGTGTGTTTTTTTTTTAAACGATTCTGTTTAATGCTTAATATAACTCAGCAAAGTAGGTTTTCGTCTCCTCATTTTACCACTGGTGAACTGGAAGTGCAGAGAACCTAAATTACTTAGGTTCAGACTGCTGCTGGGTAGGCTGCAGAGTCAGGATTTGAATCCAGGGCCGCTTTGTCCCCTGCACCACACTGCCACATTGAACTCTCATTGTGCAGCCTCTTCTCATCTCCGGGCTTTTAAATGAGCAGACTGGAGGATTCCTGTAGGCAAAACAGGGCGTCTGAGGCGTTATCGTGCAGTTAGACACCGTTCCTAAAGTAGAGACCAGACAGGTGAAGAAACAGCATCCGGAGCACCCAGGTGAAAGAGCTAAAGAAACCGGAACTTACCCAGCAGTGCTGCCTGGGATTTTTGAGGAAGTGAAGTCCATCTGCCAGAAACTTCCTCCTCCTGCTGACCCTCTTGGGCTCCCTTTTCTGTAGCATCACTGGGCAGGAAGCTGGCAGCTGTGGGCAGAGGATGGCGTTGGGGGGTATTGATGTGTAACTGGGGACTCCGGAAGGCCTCGGCACCGATGGCGCTCCTCCACCTCCTGTGTTGGTCCCTACAGATGCCCCATGAGACAGCAGTGGAGCAAGAAAGGGCCGGTCTGGTTCCCGCCTTCAGCCTCTTCTCTCGCAGCCAGAGGCTGAGTTACTGGAAAGTGAGGGCTGCCAGCAGACTGGCCGGGGAGTTCAGAGACTTGGGGACTCCTCTTGGGCTAAAGCAGGGGTCCCATTGGAGCAGTATCAACCTGAGGGGTTATTTGGGAGGTCTGCAGGAGCTATTTTGTCTTCCAGTGCAATCATTCCTGAATATTCATGTAGGAATACATTTTATTTTTTTTTTTTAGGAATACATTTTATTATACGTTGCTTTTCATTTCTCATTCGTTATAGTTAAGGTATGATATTGATTGTTAAGATTATAGAGACAATCATATTGTCTATGAATCTCAATTCAGAATCAAGAAGAGCAAATGAAAATATTTGTTTTATTTATTTTTTAAGTATAGTTGATTTGCAATGTTGTGTTAGAAAATACTTGGTTTTAAGATGAGGCAGGGGGTCTGAGAGGGCCAAGAACCACTGGTTGTCAGACTCACAGGTCCTGCTCGGCTGACTGAATGGGGGCCCGTATCTCCCCACATTTCTTCTGGATCATTCCTCTGATAGATCCATCCTCATCCTGGGAGAGGTGACAGAACACAGACTCTCCCCGGCCAGGCTTCCTCAGCAGGTGACTTTAATGGACACAAAGTGGAGGGGCTCCTTCTTCGCCCCCTCTGTGACTCTGCCCTCTGAGTGGAGACCCAGACTTTCCTGGGTGCAGGCTCGGCTCCTCACCTAGTTCTGCAGCCCCGAGCCCTGCAGGAGGGTTCCTGTTTCTACCCTGGCATTCCCAGGGCTTGATTTTCAAAATGCCCATCTTATTGGTTCCCTTTATCGTGGTGGCTCCAGGCTCAGTGTACATTCTTCCCACCAGTGATTTTCACCAGGCGCCTCCCATGTGCCTGACAAAGTAGAAACTGAATTATGAGCCGTTTTACTCCTGCCCAGGAGAAGCTCAAAATTCAAGTACATCAGTAATATTAAATGAGAAGCAAAAGTGATTAAGAAGGGGTGGGGAGAATACACAGAACTGAAGGTCTTAATGACTCAGATAACCTTGATGGTGTGGTCACTCACTTAGAGCCAGACATCCTGGAGTGTGAAGTCAAGTGGGCCTTAGGAAGCATCACTACGAACAAAGCTAGTGGAGATAACAGAATTCCAGCTGAGCTATTTCAAATCTTAAACCAGTGGTTTGCAACTATTTTTTCCTTCCCAACCCACCAGAGGACTAGACCCACTCCCCTCTGTAACTGTGGGTTCTCTGGGGATGTGTTGGTTACTGTATCCTCTCATCTCCATCTCAGGGCAGACTAAGGCATTTGGACACATTTTCTATCCCTGGCTGGGAGTCACTTTGTGAACCTGGGAAGGTTCCATAACCAGCTTTCTTTGTTTCTTATAAGACTGAGGGCAAAGAAAGGAAGACCAGGAGGGCTGCATGGAGGCAGACTGAATCCAGGACATGGCTGGCATCACTATCCTCTTCTATGAGATATTTTTCAGATAACAGGAAAAATATGGGGGAGAGAGAAAGCAACCATATTGAAATCTCCTAAATGTAACAGATCTGGAGCCCAAGAGCCCTTCTTTTAGGGAGGAGGAAGGGGTCTTGTTCTCCCTGTCTGCTGGGCCGTTTGTGTGTACCAAGTGGAACTATTTAACCCAGCTCCCCTGAGTGTATCCTTTCTCATCCATTTTTATTTCTATAAATTTTTTAAAAAACAGTGTTTCTGTGCACTCAATTTTTTGATTCTGTTACTAGTAACGACAATGGCTATAGATGACTTCATTAACTGTTCTTTCCAGTCACTGTGAAAGACAGCGAGATAGTCTTTGAACTTGATGTATATACATGCATTAAAATCTATAAAAAGTCCTACTTGTGATTTTAAAACTTGATTCTTCATTCTAGTTGGAGCTCCTCCATGGTGTTAAGCCCTCGCCCTTTACTGAATTTGAGTTCACTTTTCTTGTTAATGGTATCACCTGGAGGCTTTTGTTGTTCAGGCTCTCAGTCGTGTCTGACTCTTTGCAACCCCATGGACTGCAGCATGCCAGGCCTCCCTGTCCTTCACTATATCTCCTGGAGTTTGCTCCAATGCATGCTGTCCAAACATCTCATTCTCTGTTGCCTTGTTCTCCTGCCCTCAGTGGAGGCTTAGAAGGAATATATGTTTGAAATGAAAGCGTGTGATCCAGTTTGCTAGTTTTATTTTCTGTGGGTAAATAGGGGAAACATTTGGAATATCTGAGGATAAATAAGGGACAACACGCCCTGTGCTTAAGTTCACATTTTTGATATCTCCTGTGCATTTCAGAAGCTTCCAGACCTTTCATTCTTCTTCCTGTGTTGACTTTTGGGCCTCAGAGTCACCAGAGGCAAGTTTTCCAGGAAAGGACTAGGTACCCCTGACCTTGTGTCTTTATTTTTTAAAGAAACAGAAAGTATATTTTTAGCTCTGTTTTCCGTCTTTTAAAATATTTATTTGGCTGCACCTGGTCTTAGCTGCAGCATGCAAACTCTTAGTTACGGCATGTGGGATGGAACCTGGGCCTCCTGCACTGGGAGTGCAGTCTTAGCCATTGGGCTCCCAGAGAAGTCCCTGGCCTTGTTTCTTTAAACACTAGACTCTTATTAAAGGCCTACAGGATAGTATTTTACCAGGAAAACTGCTCAGACCCTAGGACGCATGCTTTTCTTTGAAACCCAGCAGCATTACAAAAAGTATTTTGTTAATACTACAAAAATGAATGCTTAGAATTCCCTCCTAGGGCAGAGAGAATGCAGAAATGGCCTGGGGGATAAGTGGCCTGGCAGAAGATGCTTAAGGGGTCTGAGGAAGAGATGAGGCAGAGGGAGGGGAGAAGGGGTGGGGGGGGGGGAGGGCAGACCCGCAGAAAGAAGAGGTGGTCAAAGCCCCTTCCTGTGCTTTTCCACCTCACCTCTGCTCCTCCCTCAGGTCTCAGGGGCCTCCCACCTCCCTGATCCTCTTTCTCAGGGTCATCACACTCTGACACTTGTGATGCTTTAACATGTGTCCCCACTAGACTTGTGGCTCCATGGGGACAGCTCATTTGGGTCACCATTGTATCTCTGGTGTCCAATGTCCTGTATGTTTTATTGCATGAGCCATGTAACCTGACTTATTATTACACTAGGCCAGCGTGTAGAATTGCAGGGAAAAGAGTGGGGCTAAAGATATATCATAAAGACCAGAGGAAGTGGGGAAAGTAGATAGACAGCTTTGGATTAGAACTCTGCTCAACTCCTAGGAAGTCATCTGTATTTCTATCTGGGGGTTGTTCATTTGATGTGGTGTTTTGTATTTGTTTTTTAAAAAACACCTTATGTCGGGACTTCCCTGGTAGTCCAGTGGTTAAAACTCCACCTTTCAATGCAGGGAGTGCAGGTTCGATCTCTGTTGGGGAATTAAGATCCCATATGTCACGTGGCAACTAAGCCCATGTGCTGAAACTAGGATCGACATATATATGCTATCATGTGTAAATATTAATAGATAGCTAGTGGGAACCTGCTGTATAGCCCAGGGAGCTCAGCTTGATGCTCTGTGATAACTCTGTGATGACCTAGAAGGGTGGATGGGGTGGGGAGCATGAAGGAGGGATGTCCCAGAGGGAGGAGATATATGTATATATACCTGATTCATGTTTTTGTACAGCAGAAACTAACAATATTGTAAAGCAGCTATCAGTTCAGTTCAGTCACTCAGTTGTGTCTGACTCTTTGTGACCCCACCAACCAGAGCATGCCAGGCCTCCCTGTCCATCACCAACTCCTGGAGTTTACCCAAACTCATGTCCATTGAGTCAGTGATGCCATCCAATCATCTCATCCTCTATCATCCCCTCTCCTCCTGCCCTCAATCTTTCTCAGCATCAGAGTCTTTTCAAATGAGTCAGCTCTTCACATCAGGTGGTCAAAGTATTCAGAGTTGCAGCTTCAACATCAGTCCTTCCAATAAACACCCAGGACTGATCTCCTTTAGGATGGACTGGTTGGATCTCCTTGCAGTCCAAGGGATTCTAAAAAGTCTTCTCCAACACCACAGTCAAAAGCATCAATTTTTCGGTGCTCAGCTTTCTTCACAGTCCAACTCTCACATCCATACATGACCACTGGAAAAACCATAGCCTTGAC